CTCAAACTGTAGAAAAGTTGGGTGGATAGCACAATGAACACATATATTCCTTTCATGTAGATTGACCAAACTGTTAACATTTTATCACATTTGCTTTCTCTTGCTCTTTTTTTCCTGAATCATTTGAAAGTAAGTGCAAATGTCATGACATTTTTATGCCTAAATACTTCAGCCTGTGTCTCCCAAGAACAGGTATTCTGCTGAACAGCCACAATACCGTTATCATACCTAAGAAAATTAAGAATTCTCCAGCACTATCCAGGACTCAGTCCATATTTGGATTTCCCGAACTGTCCTAAAAAAATGCTGTTAGCTTTTTTTTCCCTTCAATTTAAGACAACATTTGATTGTTGTGTCTCTTTAGTCTGCTTTCTGTTTTGTTTTTTGTGACGTTGTCTTTTTTTGAAGAGGCCAGTGCTTCTTGTAGAAAGTCCTGCATGTGAATGTGTCCAGTGTTTCCTCATGATTAGATTAAGGTTGAATTTCTTTTGGCAGCTACATAGGTAATCCCATCAGTTGGCACTTGGTGAAGTTACCCCTTTATTGGTGATGCCAAGTTTGGTCGCTTATTGAAGGTGGTGACATCAGACTGAGTCATCTGTGGAGTCATACTTTGAGTCCACGTGAATGGCCAGCTCCTCAGCCCTTTGATGATCCTGGCCTGACTCATTTGTGAGATTGTGTGTGGCAAAATGGTAATTTTCTAATGCTCTCATTCCTTCTACATTCATTAGCTAACATTCTCCTGTAAAGAAGGAGATTTCTCTCTTTAATATTACTATGGAATAATAGTAATTTCTTTTTTTTATTCAATATAGTATAGTGCGTTACCATTGTTATTCTTTATTACAATCAGATTTCCTAATCTGGCCATATGGAGCTACTTAAAGACAGTTTCTGTATCCTGAACATGACTCAGTTTCTCTCAATCATTATGAAGTTTTGGGCAAAATGAAACTCAGAAAACTAACATCCCAGATCTCCTAGTCATGTTCAAGTAATCTTTCCACTTCTTGGGCTGACCGTCTTCTTCGGTTCAACTGCATTTTTTTTGGTGTTCCCAAATTAGACTCACCTTCTAGTCTTCTGGTTTCTGTGCCTCTCACATCAATTTCATTGTCTGTCCTTCTGTTCAGCCAGACTCCAGCTTTTCATCGCTTGATTCCTTCCCTCTGTAATTGTTTTTTTCCCCTCTCCATCAGATATTCTTTTGCCCTCCTTCCATTGCAAACTTTTCCCCTTTTGGTTTTCCTCTCCTTTTCAAGCCTTTTTTTTTTTTTTGAGGAAGATTAGCCCTGAGCTAACATCTGCTGCCAATCCTCTTTTTGCTGAGGAAGACTGGCCCTGAGCTAACATCTTTGCCTATCTTCCTGTACTTTATATGTGGGACGCCTGCCACAGCATGACTTGCCAAGCGGTGCCATATCCGCACCCAGGATGCAAACTGGCGAACCCTGGGCCACCTAAGCAGAACATGAGAACTTAACCACTATGCCACAGGGCTGGCCCCTCTCAAGTCATTTTTTTCTGCCTCATCCATTTTCGGTTTCCTTTCTTTCTCAAGCCATGTTTTTCTGCCTCATTCATTTTTGTTTTCTAAATCCCCTGGCACTTCTTCAAAATAGCTGATTGTTTCCTAATTTTTTCACCACCAGAGTTCCCTTCTATCAGTTTTCATTCATGGACTCCCATGAGTCTTTTATATGCCAGATTTGCATTATTGTTTTTCCATTTTTGTTAAGCAAAGCCATTCATAATTCAAATGGCTTTTTCTGTTTTTGTTAAGCAAAGCCAGTATGAGCTTTATTGGGTATGAGATGACATATGCACCTACATCGAGAAATATAATTACAGCCTAAAGCTGGGAAACGTGTTACTTTAGTTAGCCTCTTTGACATAAATAGGGAATCATGTACAACCCAGGCTCTCTGTATTTGGACAGAGATATCTTGAAGTCGTCATGACCAACTTCCAGGACCTTGGCCTTGCAGCCAATGGCCCAGCCCCTCCTCTCACTTTCCAACTGGATTGGTAGCCTCCACCTACTTCTGTATCCTCAGAGCTCGCAAAGATCTCTGCTCCCAGGGGCTCCGTTTGTAAAGACCAGGGTTTGTGTTTCATTTTTAGGATTGCCTATGCAGGTTGGCTGGGAAATGCTTTATTTTCCTCAGCAACCTATCAAGAGATTGCCCTTCCTCTGAAGTCTTCTCTGTACCCTGGAGAGACATTGTTCTCCTAATTCAGGGCTCTTCTTATTCTCTGACTTCCTGTCCATATCATTAAATTTTTTTCCCTGGCTCACTCGGAACCAAGAGTTCCTGACTATAATGGTGTATGAACTTTTTCCCCTTATTACAAATGCAATACTATTTGTTAGATAAAAATCAGTAAATAGCGATGAACAAGAAATTATAATAGCTAACATTTTGGGGGCTCTTAGTATGTGTTGGGCACTTTATGTTTGTTAACTCATTTAAGACTGACACCAATCAGAGAGGCAGGGTTTGTATTATCCTCATTTTCCCTTCCTCTGCAGTTGAAGAAAAGGAGACTTGAGGTTAAATAACTGGCTTAGGGTGATAAACTAATAAGTGGCAGAGCTGATTTTCCAACCAGAGCCATGACTTGTTTATATTACCCTTCCAGAACTTCTTCTGTACACAAATATATATGCACCCAAATGGGATCGTATTGTATGTAAACACTTTTTACTCCCACATATTGTGACCATCTTTCCGTGTCAGTAAATACGCTTCGACAGCGTTCTTTTTAATCCGGTGTCCTTCTGTTTCCTCTCCTTCCGGCTCTATCCCCAGGATCGACGAGAACGTGCTGGGAGCACAGCTGGATGTTGAGGCCGCCCATTCAGAGATCCTCAAGTACTTCCAATCGGTCACTTCCAACCGGTGGCTCATGGTCAAAATCTTCCTCATCCTCATTGTTTTCTTCATCATCTTTGTGGTCTTCCTTGCCTGAACCCTCTCCACTCTGAGGCACTCCGTGGGGGTTTGGAACCCTCTTTGGGAGGGCAGGTGGCCAGTGCTGCCGCTGAGCCTGTGCAGGGTGCTTGGGAGAAAGGCCCTGTTTCCCTGGAACTGGTAGGAATGGCCACTGCCCCTGGTCCCCCACCCCTTGCCTCTGGCCACCTTGTCCTCCCCTCACCACCCTCAGGCCCATGAAACACAAATGGTTCTGGATTTGGACTCTGCTGTGAAGTGGCTGGAAGGGAGCAGAGGCCAACTAGGGGGCCGGTGGGGGAGGTTGTCTCCGCTAGGAGATTTTTATAAACCCTCCCCAGCCTCTCCCAAAGGAAACTTCGGCAGCAAGGGGAGATGATGTCCTTCCCCACCTTCCTCAGAGCGAGGAGAGGAAGTGAAACTGCCCCAGGGACCAACTTTCCCATCTGGGTTAGAATTTGACCTCTTCTTCCTCTTCATCATGTGAGGCAGGGGGCCCTGAGCCCCTCGGCTGCCTGTACAACCCCAACTCTGGCTGCTGGTGACTCTCAATCTGCCAAATGCGCTGCAGCCCGTTTTCTCCCAATTACAGCAAGACTGTCAGCCTCACTAGCCATGTCGTCATTTCTGGGTGGGAGCGTCGAAGGGCCTAGGCGGCAAGCAGAGTGAGCCCACTGCCCAGTAGCAGACCTGAAAGGGTTGGGCTGATGGCTTTGAGGGCCAGGCTTTGGGCTCTGCGCGCACAGCTGTCTCTAGGCAGGGGATAACCAAGTGCTGCAGCATTTCATCAGCATAGAATCTTCCCTTCAAAACGGAGAGCAGGGTCCCAGAGTGGGTCCCTGACTGGTGGCAACTTCGAGGACCATCTCCAGCAGTATTTGGACCTGTTTCATCTGCATCCTCCAACCAGTTGGTCCCAGTTTTTCCTTGAGTTGGATGAGGCAGGAGCTCTGCCTGCTGCCAGGAGCAAAAGGCAAAGTGAAGAATTTGTTCCCAGCTCCAGCTGAGATTCTTGGTCCCCTGCAAGCACTTCACCAAATCCAAGCCAATCACAGGAGAATGAGGAAGAGAGCCGCCTGGAATACACACCCTCCGGGGAGGTTAATATGCTTCTTGGTCATTCCTGACCAGGACCCACAACTCCATTCTGAGGACACTCAGTTCCCCCCATCTCACACCCCAAAGGAAGCTCAAACTATAGAGACAACAATCACCATACACTGGACTGGCCCTAGTACTCTGAGGGGTCTGGGAAAGCCCATGTCTTTTTTAGCCCTGGCATTTTAATATTTCCTCTCTCCTTGACCTCTGTTCAGCAGGTGGACTTGCTGGCACCTTCACTGCCCAGTTGACACACTATGTGAGCCTAGCAAAGCCCATCAGTGGTGGGTGGGGAGGTTTGTGAAGACAATTGCTCACCAAAGCCTGACACATGCAGTCTCTCATTTAAGTCGGCAACTCTTCGTGGGGGGATGCATACATCAGAAATTAATTTATTTCACAAATATTTATTGAGTTCCTGCTATGTGCCAGGCATGCTACTGAGCCAGGCGTTGGAGAAAAAAGCCATGAATTAGTCAAGGTCCCTGCTCTCTTGAGGCTTACGTTCTAGTTTTCTATTTCCTGATAATTCATTTTACAGGCGAGGAAAGGGAGGCATAGGTCCGCAGCTGGCAAACGGTCAAGCTGAGGCTTAAAACACTGGCTGGACCTCGCCAGGGGCTTATGAGCGGTCACTTCCACTCCGAGGCCTGGGTCTCCCGCTCCTCGGAAGCCCTTCGTGTGGCCTCTTCCCGGTTCCTCTAGGAGTCCTGGGCTTCAGCTGCCCGTTCTCTGGTCCAGCGCTAACCCTGGAAGGACTAGCATAGCGACGAACGATGAAAGAAGGTGGCGAGGCACGGGGGCCGGGCGGGGCGAGCGCGGCCGGGCCCCGCCCCCCGCTCGGCTGCTCGCCGAGTGCGCACGCGCAGAGGGCCGCACTCCCTTCCGGCGGTACCGCCTACCGCCCGGGACGTCGGCTGCGCGCGACGTATTCGGCTGGATAAATGCGGTGGTGCCGGGCGTAGGAGCGCTTCGGCCCGGAGCGCTTGGGCTTTCGGACGTTTGGTGGCGTCGCGGGCTGCGCCTGAGCTCGCCCGTGTGTCTCGCTGTACCATGGCGGACGAGGGGAAGTCATACAACGGTCAGTGCCGGCCTCCGGGCAAGGGAGCGGGCGATCTGGGGCCCGAGTGGGTGGCGCCAGCCTAGGCCGCAGCCTCGGGGCCTGAGACCGCGAGGGGCCCGGCGTCCGCGGTGAGTGGCGGCGGCGCGGGCTGGGGCGAGGCAGCCCGGGGGCCCGACTGGACTCGAGGGCGGGCGCCCGACTTGTTGACTCCGAATCCTGACGTTTGGAGGACCTGGGTCTCGGAGCGGGGGTCTCGGTGGTGGGGGGACGAGATTCCTTTGAACTGTGGTTGGTGCCTGTCAATTCAGCTTGGCGTCCAGACTCTTCCTTTAATGTGCGTCAGTTCCTTCCTTGCTCATGGGCTGCCCGTGCCCTGTTTTCTACGGCGTCCAGTCGGTCTTGCCCCACCTCCCCTGCGACTTTGGCTTTGGCTTAATATATTAGATCTACACACCAACTCGATGTGCTAGACCAAATACACACAGGGTTTTAGTCCTGAGTAGTGGTTAGGAGCACATGACAGCCAAGGTTTCACTCCTCAGTTGGCTACGACAAGCTTGAGTGAGTTACTCAGGCCTCATTTTAAACCCCCTTAATGAAGGTAGAAACAGTACTTATCTCCTAAGTTTGTGTCCGTGTGTGTGTTAAAATGGCATCATTCCTATCAAGTGCTTGGAGCATAGTACCTGCTGGAGAAAGTTCTCAGTGAACGTTAGCTGCGCCTTCTATTCATTTATTCTTTCTTTCTAGGGTAATTTCTTCAGGTTTATTGCAGAGTACTAGGCATTAGGCAGACCTTTTTCGGGAGTCATGGATTTTTTTTTAAGAAGCCATTGCTACACACCAGGATTCAGAGGATCATGTTCCTGGAGAGCATTCAAGGACCCTCAGTTAAGCACCCTACCTAGTTGCCGCTAGAGCCTGAGTCTAGGTGTTGTCTCCTGAGTTAAAAAGCATTTCTGGCCAAGGAAATGAAGAGCTCACTCTCAAAACTTCAGAGTGGCAGTTTGAGAACAAGACTTTTAAAGAAACCCTTAAATTGGTCATATTTGTACCTGACGTTTGTACTGTATAGGCCAGAGAAGGATTGTTTACTGAAAGCTGACATAGTCATTGTGGTTGATTGGTTTTAGGAGATGTGAGAAAGGTCACCATCCACATTTTGATCGGGGTTAAGTAGATTTGGGAGGCTAAGAGAAAGTAGATTTTAGGTGACTTTCAGGGTGTCTGAGTTGTATCCAGTTACGCTTTTGCGTCACTCACACTTCCACATTCTACTTTTCTTTTCTGTAGTTCTAGATTCTGCTTCATTTTTCAAAAGCCGTACACAGTTTTCCAATAATTTTTCCCTGATGCTGCCATCTCATGGAGAGGGTTCTTTCTCTGGACAAGCAGAGGAGTTTGCATGGAGGTGGCCTCTATTGTTAGTGTATATCTCATCCTACAGTGCAGGGTGCTGGATACTGTGATTAGCACACCAGAGTAGCTGGACTAGTGATGTATTTTCTGATTTGTGTTCTGTTTCCAACCCCAGAGCACGATGACCGCGTTAGTTTCCCTCAAAGAAGAAAGAAAGGCCGGGGTCCTTTCCGGTGGAAGTCTAGTGAGGGGAACCGTAGGTCTGGAAGAGGAGGTTCTGGCATTCGGTCTTCCCGCCTTGAGGATGATGACAGAGATGTGGCAATGAGTGATGCCCAGGATGTTCCCCGAGTAAGATAGTAAGTGACCAGTTGATCTGGTTTGAATTTAGTGACTCATTTGTTTATACACCAGCCTGCTTACTCTCCATGTCATTTCTCTTCCCACCTGGAAGACTGAGAAATGCCAGGACCGGCTTAATGGTTGAACAGTCTTAGTTGTAGTCCTGGTAACAGTCTAGGAAGGTCTTTGAGAAGACATTCTTAATGTCTGTGGACGTTTTATTCTCTTCTTTCCCACAGCAACCCCTATGCTGCCCGACCCAACCGTCGGGGTGATGGTTGGCATGATCGCGACCGAATTCATATTACTGTGCGGAGAGACAGACCTCCTCAAGAAAGAGGAGGGGCTGGCACCAGCCAGGATGGGACGGCAAAGAACTGGTTTAAGATTACAGTGAGTATCTTAGAAGATAGATGGTGGAGGGGAGATAAGAGGCCGGGCTCAGAGGGAAGGTGGTTTACTTTTCACTCCACAAGAATCAGTCTTTTCAGCTATTCACTCCACAATCAAGGATCTATCCTTTCTCCTAAGAATCAGTGTCTTAGAACACCTATGAGCAGGTGCAGAGAAGGAGTAGAAGAGGACAGGCAGGAGGGGCAGGATGGGGAGGCCATCTGAAGGGAAGCGTGGTAACTGCGTTGGGAAGGGGAGAATTCCTTTGATGTCTCCATTTGACCAAGCCAAATGTGGGGGTTGGGGCCCCTTAAGTTCTCTGAGGAGCAGACAAGGTATAAATAATATCTTGGAACTGTTTAGAATAAATAATATCAGATGATTTGATTCTTTTGAGGAATAATAAGTCTAAATGAAGAGAAAGGAGGTTAAGGAATCCATGTCTGGCTTAAGTAGAAAACCTTCAACTGGTCCTTTCCTTAGAAGATCTTTGAAAGCTTGGTAGAAGGTACAGGTGAGCACTGGATTGGCCCTGCTGGTCAGCCTTAGTTACATTTGTTCCCTTCTCTTTCTCTCGTCTAGATTCCTTATGGCAGAAAATATGACAAGGCGTGGCTCCTAAGTGTGATTCAGAGCAAGTGCAGTGTCCCTTTCACCCCTGTTGAGGTAAGATAAGGCCTGAGTGGCTGCCTAGGCACCAGGGAAGGCAGAGGGGCCAGCTAGACCAGGGGCTCCGGGTTCTAAGTCTAATGCTCTTGTTTCCTCTCCTTGCAGTTTCACTATGAAAACACACGGGCCCAGTTTTTCGTTGAGGATGCCAGTACCGCCTCTGCATTGAAGGCTGTCAACTATAAGATTTTGGATCAGGAGAACCGAAGGGTGTGTGTGAAGGGCCTGGCTTGGCAGGGCTGGGGATTGGTGCTCAGGGCACAGACTGGTCTCGGGCCTGGGGCTTGGGCTTCCCTAGAGTTCACTGTGTGCTTTGTGTCTGCCCTGCAGATATCTATCATCATCAACGCCTCTGTTCCGCCCCATTCTGTGCAGAATGAGCTGAAACCAGAACAAGTAGAGCAGCTAAAGGTGAGGCAAGCTCAAGTAACGTGTATTTCCACCCCAGTCCCACCACTTCTCTCTCCCAACCCCACACACAACCCTAGGGACCACTGAACCCTTTTTCTTCCTCTGTAGCTGATCATGAGCAAACGATACGATGGCTCCCAACAAGCACTTGACCTCAAAGGCCTCCGTTCAGACCCAGGTATGGCTGACAGCAGTAATTCTCAGACAGTTGGGGCCCCGGGGGCATCTGTCAGGCAGGGAAAGTTGGAGAGTGGTCTGGTGCTAACTCTAGCCTGGGCAAGCCCTCTCAGACTTCCCTTTCCTTCCTAAAGATTTGGTGGCCCAGAACATTGATGTTGTCCTGAATCGTAAAAGCTGCATGGTGGCTACCCTGCGAATCATTGAAGAGAACATCCCCGAGGTGAGGCCTTTGTCCGGGTATTAGTTGGGAGGAAACAGGGTGGGATAGATTGGATGGGGTTGGGAGGCAGGTTTGTCTCTGATCTCCTTGCTGGTGGTACTTCCTCTAAACTTTTTCTCCCCACAGCTGTTGTCCCTGAACTTGAGCAACAATAAGCTATACAGGTTGGATGACCTGTCCAGCATTGTGCAGAAAGCACCCAACCTAAAGATCCTAAACCTCTCTGGAAATGAGGTGAGACTTGAGAGCCCACTTATGTGTTGAATGGGGTGGGCAAAGGGTGGAGAGGGCTTGGGAGGGGATTGAAGACATGAGGGTAGGGGTTAAGGGTATGGGGATCTAGCTGGCTCTCTTTACCAAGGCGTCTTCTTGTCTTTTCTCCCCCTCCTTTGCAGTTGAAGTCTGAGAGGGAGTTGGACAAGGTAAAAGGCCTGAAGCTAGAAGAGCTGTGGCTTGACGGAAACCCCCTGTGTGACACCTTCCGAGACCAGTCCACTTATATCAGGTCAGTTGTAGCCTCTGTCTCCCCTCCTGGGGACCTTCACCCCCTGGGAGGCTGAGGTAATGCACCCTGACCAGTGGCCGTTGCAGGAGATGTGCAGCCCTGAGCTGGAACCACCTATCCTTTGGGAGGATCACGTGCTCTTCCCTTTTGTCTGTCCGTGTCTCTCCCAGCTTTGCCCTGAGTTCTCCTTTCCTTCCTTCTCACCTGACCTTGCTGGTTCTGTGGCTTTTCTGCTTCGTTCCTGAACACAGCCTTTTCTAGAACCTCCCTACCCTACTGTTCCAGGAAGGGCATCTCCCCAGGACCAGGGGGTATCTTATATGTGCCCCATGTGTGGAGTTGCTTTGGGCCAAGAGCCTGGTATCCCTGGGCTGAGAAAGCCCTCCCTCTCTGGGAGTTCCTGCTGATGGGCCTTCCCTCCTTTGTCTTGTGATGGGCCCTCTTGCCCTTTTGCCAAGAGGGACGATTTTCTCAAGATCCACTTGCCTAAGGCTGTTGCCTGGACTTTCCAGCCCATGCTGAGGTTGAGGCCTCCTGGGGGCTGGTGCCATGCAGTCTGTCTCTCTTGCCCAGTGCTGTGCACTGGGCCCTCCCTGGAGAAGAACCCTGGGTTCCCCAAGACATGTGACCAGAGCCGGGGCCCCGCCAGCAGGCGAGGGAATCCCAAGGCAGGTGCTGGGCGTGGAGGCCACGGGGGCAAAGGCTACCAAGGAGACAGAGAATTGACCCTCTCGGAGGGCACTGCCCCTTGCTCACTCGCACACCTCACATCACCCTGCTTGGCCCCGGAGGATGGCTGGTTAGCCAGAGACGGGTAAGATTCCTCGGGGAAGGAACAACCTAAGACAGGCACAGTCGCAGAGGGGCCATCAGGAGAGAACTTGGGGGCCAACAGAGGTGGGGCAAAGACCCTCACCCCCCCAACTTTGCAGGGGCCTGAACCCTCAGCCCTTCCGAGGGAGGTCTCCTGCCCCCATGGCTGCTTCGCTTTCCCACGCCCAGCCCAGATCGGGACCCAGGTAGCAGACAGAGACCTGGCCAACAGCATCTGCTCTCTTGCCGCAACAAGAATTCATTTCCATTTCTACCTTGGACCAGTGGGAAAGGGGCAGCGGAAGGAAAGGGCTATGTCAGGTGCCTTCTTCCCTCTTTTCTCCCTCTTTTTTCTGAACGCCTCCTCGCCTCATATTTCTTCCACTTTTTCTCTGCTTTCTCTTTCCTTTTTCTCTCTGCTCCCCTGTATCGCCCCCCCAATCTCTCCCTTGCCTCTGCTCCTTCCTGCCTTTTCTTTCTTTCCCTTCTCCTCTTCCTTCCCTCTCTGATTCCTTTGCCTTGCTTTTCCTGAGTCCCACCTTGCTCATCTCCCTGCCCCAACATCCTGTGCCATCCCTGTGGTGTGTTCTGGTCTTGGCCACAGCCAGACCTGGCAGAACTGATGGATACCTGTTGAGGCAGCGGAGCCCCTGGGCTCCCACCCCATTCCCTCCTCCCGGGGCTGCACAGGTGAGTAGGTAGAAGGTAAGGGGGGCAGGGAGGGAAGGAGGTCCTGGGCTTCAGGCCTGGGCTGGAAGCGCTGCTCCTGTGGCGCTCGGGTCAGGCAGAGAGGAGAGAGTCAGCCTTCAAGGCAGTCATTTTTGGGTGCCCCGGGTGAGGTGGGGAGTGGGGCCATTTTTCCCGGAGCTCAGAGGCTGGGAAGGAGTGAGAGGATGAGCAGGATGGGCTGGGCTGTCCCTCGGGTGTTGTATTTGCTCCTAGAGCAGCCCAGGAGGCACGGTGGCTCTGAAGCGTCACTCACTTCTGTCCCGTTCTTGACAGCGCCATTCGTGAACGATTTCCCAAATTACTACGTCTGGTAAGTCCATAACTTTTTTCATTCTCTTCTGGTGAGCATGGCGTCTCCCACCCCCAAGATCTTGCCTAACACGTGTTCGTATGACCACTAGTTTGGGGACATGGAGGCCTTTGAGAATCTGACAAATGCTATAATCCTTCTTTCCAGAAAAATGCCTGTAGACACAATTGCATCTTTCAGAATTCCTGGACCTTTGCCAGGAATCTTTTACACTTGACCTCAGACCCCTCACTCCTAATTCTCCCATCTAATTATTCATTTAGCCTTTTTTCTCTGGTTTACACTGTCACCTTTCACTTCCTTTCTGCAGGATGGCCATGAGTTACCCCCGCCAATTGCCTTTGATGTTGAAGCCCCCACGATGTTACCACCCTGCAAGGTGAGAAGCGGGGCCAGAGTTAGAACTTGTGTTGGGAGGAGGCTGTGGGTTACATGGTCCTAATATCTGTTTGATTCCAGGGAAGCTATTTTGGAACAGAGACCCTGAAAAATCTGGTCCTGCACTTCTTGCAGCAGTAAGTATTGTAGGGCCCCTGAGGCTGGGGAGAGGTGGGTTAGTCCCAGCACGACTCATTCTTGAGAGCTCTTGGGTCCCTTTGTGGATCCAGACCATGGAGCTCAGACCTTTTCTGTTGTCCCCACAGGTACTATGCAATTTATGACTCTGGAGACCGGCAGCGGCTCCTGGATGCCTATCATGATGGAGCCTGCTGCTCCCTGAGCATTCCTTTCATCCCCCAGAACCCTGCCCGGTGAGTCTCACATCCCAGAGCCTGCCCAGGACCAGAGTTTCTCGGCAAATGCAGGCCAGCACCTGCTGGCATCCACACTGCTCTGACCACTGCCTCCTTTCCTCCTGTTCCCTCAGAAGCAACTTGGCCGAGTATTTCAAGGACAGCAGGAATGTGAAGAAGCTTAAAGACCCTAGTAAGTGTGTGACGTGAGCAAAACAGGCTGGAAGAAGGGGATGACAAGGAATCAGTCATAGGGGTCAGGGGTCTGCGGCAGCCCCTAACCTTGGGTTCTCCTTCACCTACTACAGCCCTGCGGTTCCGGCTGCTGAAACACACACGTCTCAACGTTGTTGCCTTCCTCAATGAGTTGCCCAAAACTCAGCATGACGTCAATTCTTTCGTGGTAGACATAAGCGCTCAGACAGTAAGCACGCACTTCTTCACTGACAAAGGCCTGGAAGTGGGGAAGGGGCGGTTAAGAGACAAGGGAGGCTCAGGGTCTGACTGGGAGCCTACATGGTAACTGGTGCTGCTTCTCTTTCAGAGCACGTTGCTGTGTTTTTCTGTCAATGGGGTCTTCAAGGAAGGTGAGAATCTTTGGAGCCCTCAGTTTACAGAGTGGTCCCTCCCCCAGCTAGAGTCTTCCTCAGCTACACTCTCAGTTACCTTCTCTTCCCTCTATTTCCCTGACCACTTCCTCCCGTTCTGCCCCCAAGCCACCTTCATTTGGCCTACCCTCTCTACATGGATTTCCTGTCTGGGACATAGGAAAAGCCTGAGTGCTAGGACACAGACTTTGGAGTCAGACAGGTCTGAGCTGCCACCCCAACCTTGGTCCTTTGTGTCTATGGGCAATTTACATTATCTCTGAGCCTCAGATTCTGTATTTGTAGAAGGGGGTTAATAAGAGCTGTCTCGTAGTGGTGCTATGGAGAGTAAATGAAGCGACTTATACAGTGCTTGGCACAGGATGTGGCACACACATGGTCTATCAGTGGGGTGCTGGCGGTTAATTATCATTGTCCTCCCTGACTCTGACACTCCTCCCGCCCCTGCACCCCTGTACAGACATAATCACCCCTGTCTGGCCCACTTAGGGTTCCTTGTATCAGATCAGACCGTGATCTGAGCAGCAGGTTGTAAACAGAAAGCATGAGCAACCCTAAGGGGTCATTGCCCTTGTTATCACTGCAGTGGATGGAAAGTCTCGGGATTCTTTGCGAGCTTTCACCCGGACGTTCGTTGCTGTTCCTGCCAGCAATTCAGGGTAAGTGTTTGGCTTACCACATGGGGTCCCAGTCCCAATCCATGGCCAGCACTCTAGGAATTTGGGGTCGGGGGAGGTGGAGTCAGTCTTCAGAGTATTTTCAGCATTTTAGAAAGGAAAGGCAATCAGAGGGGCAGGCTCACATAGTAGCTAAGAGCTTGGCTCTGGAGTCAGACTGTCTGGGTTTTCATCCTGGCCCCACCACTTCTAGCTAAGGGCAAGTTTCCCCATCTGAAAACTGATATAACACTATTCATTTCCTCAGTCTGTTGTGAAGATAAACGGGGGCTAAGAACTGTCCATAAGTTGGGGGAGAATGTATAATTCTAGTGTGTTTGGTAGGTACCCCCATACCTGGAGTCCACAGGAAACGGGGTAGATGATAAAAGGTGATAGCTAAGAGCGGGAGGGGGACTTGGTGGGTATTGAAAGAATCTGTGTGTCAAGTATGAGGTCTGTCTGTCCAGCTGTCTAAGGTGCTTTTTGTCCCCAAGGCTGTGCATCGTAAACGACGAGCTGTTTGTGCGGAATGCCAGCCCCGAGGAGATCCAAAGAGCCTTTGCCATGCCTGCACCCACACCTTCCTCCAGCCCAGTGCCCACCCTCTCCCCAGAGCAGCAGGAAATGCTGCAGGCATTCTCGACCCAGTCTGGCATGAACCTCGAGTGGTCCCAGAAGTGAGTGCTGGGCATGTGTAGGAATAGCGGTAAACTGAGGTAGGGCTGGTAGTGAATGATGAGTGCTCCTGAAATCTTAAAAGCCAAAACTCTTTTTATTGCTTAAATAAAAAGATTGTCCATAAAAAAATTTGTACTTTGCATAAATTAGCATAACAAAATTTAAAGGCAAAATGAAATCCCTTTTTATATATTGTTCTGCAACTTTTATTACTTATCCCATAAATGTTTTTCCCTATTTGTATAAAAATTACCTTGGTTTTCTTGATAACTATTTAATATTTGTAATCAGTAGACCATTGATAGACAGTTGGATGTTTTTACTTGTATAAATAGTGCAAGAGTATATACAGTTGTTGGCAAACTCTGGCGAGTGTTTCTACAGAATGGATTTTGAAGTGGCATTTAGTGGCCGGGATGAGTGCGTGTTGGCTCTAATGGGACTGCCTGTCTTCCTCCACTCCAGGTGCCTTCAGGACAACAACTGGGACTACACCAGATCTGCCCAGGCCTTCACTCATCTCAAGGTGAGGTTTAGGAATACAGTGGCAGAAAGACGGGGATCTGTGGGACTTCAAGAGGGTCAAATAGAGATAGCCCTTATGGCCTAGGGGTTAAAGTGCAGCATGTTTCACTCCCGCGGCTGGGGTTGGGTTCCTGGGTGTGGAGCCACATCTCGCGTCTGTCAGTAGCCCACGCGGTAGCAGCGGCTCGCATAGAACTAGAGGGATTTACAACTAGAATATACAACTATGTACTGGCACTTTGGGGAGGGGAAAAAAAGGAAAATTGGCAACAGATGTTAGCTCAGGGTCACTCTTTCCCTGCCAAAGACAGAAAAACAAGGGTCAAGTAAGATGGGGGGATGGGGTCAGGGGGTGGGATGGGTGCGTGGGGTGTAGGCTGCTTGGCTCCACTGACCTTTCCTTTTTCTCCAAGGCCAAGGGCGAGATCCCAGAAGTGGCGTTCATGAAGTGATCCGGAGTCCTGCCCCAGAAGAAGCCCCCTGTAAATAGCCCTTGGATATTGATGTCTCCTTGTCATGGTTGTCACCTCCTCCTCTCCGGCCCGAGGCCACCCCGTGACTGTGACTGAGGAGGGAGGGCTGCTGGCTCCGTCTCTTCACCTGCGTTCTGGAAGACTTCTGGAAGATTGAGCCTCACTGGTGCCAGGAATCCAAAGCTTACTTTGTAGAACTGACACTAAACTACTCGAAGGACCTAGGTGCTTTGTGTACTTAACCCCGGAATCCTCCCCACTTTTTAAGATAAAAGAGTGATATTGTATTTTGTGTCGTGCGTAATGGATTGTTTAGCCTGGCCCCTTCCCTAGGCCGCCCAGCGCTCTCGGCGGGGGCAGGCGCCGGGGGGGGGGGGGCCCGGGGGGGGGGGGGCCCGCCGGCAGGAAGTCCCGCCCCGGAAGCGGCGCCGCGCGGGCCATGGCGGTGCCTGGGCGGCGGTATTCTGTGCGGCGCCTCGTCGCGCTGCGGGCCCTGCCCGAGCGCCGGCTCCTGCAGGATACGGCCCCGTCGCGGGACGTGCTGCTCTTCGAGCACGAGCGGGGCCGCTTCTTCGCCGTTCTCGGGCTGTTCTGCGCGGGCCAGGGCGTCTTCTGGGCCTCCCTGGCCGTGGCAGCCTTGGCCCGGCCCCCGGTCCCGGCACGGCCCCCGGACGCGGAGCTCCCAGCCCGCGGCCGCTCGGACGTGCGCTCCACGCTCTGGCGCTACGGCCTGGCTGTCGGCTGCGGCGCCATCGGTAAGGCGCGGGCTGGCTTCCCGCCGCGGGAACGTGGGAGGCTGGGCACGACCCTCCCGGATGAGGAGGAGGGGTGGGCAGGCCGCCCCTACAGGAGCGCGGCACCCTGAAGTGGGAAGCCCCCCTCTTCCATCCCCACCCCCCTGTGCCAGGCCCTCAGACAGGCTTAGGCTGAGGTCCTCTCACTCTGCTACCTTAAGCAAGTCACTTAAGCTCTGGACCCGTTTTCTCGTGTTTGAAATGGGCATGGACATCTATTAACGGTTGTTGAGAGAAATGACTGCCACAAGATTCTGGGGTATAAGAGGAGCTCAATAAATGTTACTATCGTCACAATTTTTTATTTAGGGCACTGGAAAGGTTGCTGCTTCTCTACAGTGAAAATCCCTCACCCCGATCTTTGTTCTTCCTGCAGGTACCCTGGTACTTGGTGCTGGTCTTCTCTTTTCCCTCCGCTCCGTGCGTTCAGTGATACTCCGGGCTGGAGGGAAGCAGGTGACCCTCACCACTCATGCCCCCTTTGGTTTGGGGGCCCATTTCACCGTTCCCTTGAAGCAGGTATCCTGCATGGCCCACCGGGGTGAAGTCCCTGCCATGTTGCCTCTGAAAGTCAAAGGCCGGCGCTTCTACTTCCTTTTGGACAAAGCTGGACATTTCCCCAACACCAAACTCTTTGACAACACTGTAGGTGCCTACCGTAGTTTGTGAAGAAACCACCTTGAGTCACTTACTCCTCCCAGAGGGGAATAAAAACTGAACCTTAGGGATGGGGTGACAGCCAGCATCACACAAGGTGGCCCTAGATTCATTAACGGCAAATAAAAGGGCAGCCATCCCAAGTGCAGGTACCTGACAGTACCTTTAAGTTTTGATCCATGTCTGTTTAGCCTTCACTCCTCCTCCCATCCACCTACCTACAGTGCTTTAACACCAAGATCTCGGTACCACGATGAAGGAAGAAAGTAATATATTTTGGTACAAAAACAGCTGTAGGAAGAGAGGTGGAGGGGGCCTATCATCATGTTTCCCTCGTGGAGGGAAAACAGGCTCCCAGCATAAACAGGGCCGTGTGGGGGCAAGAGGATCGCAGACACTTGGGTGCGGAGTCTTTGGCTGCAGAAGCACTCTGGTTAACTCTTCAGGAACGGGAGAGGTGTGGCCCAACGAGAGCATCTGTCTCAGAGCTCCACTCAGGGTCCCCCCTCTCCAGAGGCCGGTATGGGGTAGCTTCCGACTTACACTGCACGACCTGGAGCACCAAGACCACACACCAAAATGCCAGATTCACCCAAGAAGAGGTCTGTGGGAGACAGGAACAGGAGTGTGAGGAGTGGGGCCAATCTCAAATCCAATTCCACCCACATACCACTCGGACTGCTGTCAGGCTGACAAGCCCTGCAGCTCCTCAGCCTCTCACTGGTGAGCCAAGCTCAGAGTACACGGATGAGCTCCCTTATGCTTATGATGCTTATGCGAATCTGTATCCCTGGATCTCTACCCAGTCTTTCATATCCCAGGACCTCACTTCAGCATTGTGTAGGTTGGAGTAAAACTGAAGAGCGGTTCCAGGGGGAGTCCAAGGAATTTTCTGGGCTTCAGAGCAGCTGTGAGGTCAAAGAGACAGTTGTGAGAAAGGGCAGGGAGGGGGAATATAGCTGAAACACCCCCGTGCCCAGGTGCCCTTTGAGATGAGAAGAACTAACGGGGATAAAAAGGGCATTACAGGATCCTCTTTGCAGAGGGATGGAGTTGGCTCTGGCCAGGTGTCCCTCCCTCTCCCATTACCTATTTGTTACGTTCAGGGAGATGATGGATTTGCAGAGAGAACTGGTGCCAAATCGAAGGATACAGGCAGACACTAAGACCAGGAAGATGGCTATAGCTGAGACAGCCAGTGCGATGCGGAGCCCTACCGGCCCTCTATGAGGAAGGAGAGGAGACTTGTGGTTAAGACGGGACTCCTCCCACCTCAGCCCCTGGCCCTCAGAGCGGGGCAGTCACCTGTGGGAGTCCTCGATGCAGCTGCTGTAGACCCAGAAGAGCAGAAGCAGGAGACAGTAGAGGGCCAGGAGACCAGAGGCCCCAGCTACAAAGTAGCAGAGGGATGGGGCCGAGGGTCGGGATAAGGCCAGGGAGGAGCCATTCTTGGTGGCCACACCGTATAGGGGACAGCTGCCGCTGAAGGAGGCCTGTGAAGAGAAGCTGCTGAATCCTAGACTTCAAGTTAACGCCTCTGGATGCAGGCTTGTGGCAGGTGTTAAGGATAACCTAGGCCAGGGCCATCCCAGGAAGTTATTTGTGCACTGTCAGTTCCTGTTTCTGGGCTAGTAGATTGACGGAGAGGGCCTGCTGCAGAAATCAAACCTGCTGTGCCCAGGAGGATCAGGAAATGGGTGGTGGTTATAAAATACAATGAGCTTCAGAGATGCCTCACAAGTTCTGGTCTCCCCTCTGTGCAGAAATCCTAGATAAAACCAGAACTTGTAACCTTCAACAACTATCATCTCAAGTGTTTTCTAATCTGTAAAACAGGCATAAGAGCGTCTACTTCATAGGGATTAAGTACGCCTATTTATTAAAAAGACTGCGTGGCTGGGGCAAACACTCATTATTGGCTTCTGGTTTACATAAGCGTTTCCTACGTCGCTGTTTTGTCACTGTGTTGCAATCATATAGTAGCTTGATCATCTTCACTACACTATGCTTTATGTCTTGGCGTAGCACAGCACAACAGTGTCTGATTTCGAGGAGGAAGACAGGCCTGGGCCGACTTCTGTTTCAGAACCAGGGGGAGCCACCAGGCCAGGCTGTGTCTGGTGCCGTAAGGCACACCTGAGGACTCCTCCCTTTGGCGAGGGGATGACTTCCAAGTATCACCTGGGCGGACGGAGCCACAGAGCGCGATTAGCGCCGATGCACCTCGGCCGCAGACCGGGCCTCACCCGGCCCATCGGCTCCGAGGAGCAGGGCGCCGGGACCCGGAGAGCCGGGACAGCAGTGGTCTCTCCGTGTCGGGATCGGCTGCCCCCCGCCTACCCGCTCGCCCCGGCCCGCCCCCGCGGCGGCCCCGCCCCGCAGCCGCACCTGGGTCCGGGTCAGCGCCGCGGCCGCCACGGCCCCGCACAGGAAGGCGGCCGCGAAGAGCGCGAGCTCGAAGCGCTGCAGCCAGGGCAGCGCCATGGCGCCCTCGCCCCTAGGAAGCGCCGCCGCCGCGGGAACCAACCGCCCAGACCCCGCCTCCTCCGGCGCGACGGACGAGCGCGGAGACGTCACTTCCGGGCGCAGGTTTATTCACAGGGGCGGGGCCGGCACCACCTCAGAGCGGCAGGTACAGGGAGTAGTCCGAGAGCGCCCAGCGGCGGGCCGGGCGGCCGGTGCGGCCGATCATGGGCAGCTTCTGCACGTAGCGGGAGGCGGGGCTGGGCCCGTACGGCGCGGGGAAGGCGGTCTGGAAGAGGCGCCCGCGGCACCGCCTCCCGGCCTGCCGTCCCGCGATGATGAAACGGAAGTGGGGGGCGCCGCGCGGGGCGAAACGGCTCTTCTGGAAGACGTCGCGGGTGCCGGCGCCGGGGCCCTGCTGCCGGGGCGCCCCCCGCGCCCGGTGCACGCGCGGCAGCGGCCTGCTCTCGGAGGCAGCGGGCGCAGAGGCCGATGGGGCGCCGCCGCCCCGGGGGCTCTCGTCGCCCTGCGGGCTGACCACGGCGCTGGCCGTCAGCTGCGGCATCTTCCGCACCGAGTCCGGGGCGGCCGCCGGCTCCTTCTTGTCCCCGGGCGGCCGCGGGGCCGTGGGCGCGGGCTGACCTGTGCCGAAGCGGGTGGCCAGGCTGTCACCGAAGAAGGCATAGAGCTCCCGGTAGATGTCCCTCAAGGTCACTGAAGGGGAAGGATGCTCCGGCCCCGCGCCTCCTGGCGGCAGCGGGAGGCCAGACCCAAAGCCTGGCTCTGCGCTGCCCCCGGAGGGAGACTCCTGCAGGAGAAGGCTGTCCCAAGGCAGGTCGTCCGAGCGCCGGCACCCCCTGCCGCCTGGGCCACCCTTGGTGGGCTCTGCTGCCTGCGCCTTCATCTTCAGCAGTCGCTCTACGGCCACCTGTAAGAGCAGACGGACGAGGATAACAAAGAACTAGGAGGACCCTGGGCCCATCAACTATTCCAAAGGAAGCCAGCTGAGCTGCTGAGCTCCTGCAGGGAAGGGAGGCTGGAAGGGGCTGGTACTCACCAGAATGGCTCCATAGACTTTGTGCCCGTCTGCTTTAACCTGGGCATTAGATACTGAATAATCATCTAGCACAGCTTGCAGATTTGTCCAGTAAGTAGACAGATGTGGGTACAGGACTCGTTCTACTGCCTGGAAGGGAGAGAAGGTATGCAGTAAGCACCTCTTTGTTGCTTACTGCCTCTCAAGTACCCTTTCCCAAGAAAGACTTACTTTTATCTCTGATGCTGGACAGGGCTCAATCGTCATAAATTCCCTGATTGGCATATTCAGCCAACGTTTATGGAACCTACTGTATACCCAAACCTTCACTAAGCACCAGGAATAAAGATTGGGTAGAAAAACAAACAAAGTGACCGCACCATCACTGCCATGTGCCAAGGGCTATGAGGTTATAAGTACGTAATGCCCATTGCTAACAGAAATTAAGTTTGCCCACTGCTACCCTATACAGTCAATAGGCAAGTACTGTCCTCGCTTAGATGTAAACTGGGACTCGGTTCAAACCACCTACACAAAAACAAACGATCAGAGAGACCTGGACTCTGACAATATAATTTTTCATCCTGTGACTAATTTGGGGGAAAGAAGTTAAGACTTCACAGAGGAGGTGACATTTGTGATAGGCTTTGATGGATAAGAGTTCTTTAGTTCGTCATCCATAGCCTGAGGATTTGAAAATGTTGACAAAACTGACAAATTCCTAAAGAAATGTATCTTACTGTTGACTCAAGAAGAAATATGAAAGCTTGAATAATTTTGTAACTATGAAAGATTGAAACAGTAGTTAAAAGTCTAACCACAAATAAAGCAGTACGCCAAAATTTACAAAGACAGTCCACAGACATTAAAGGAAAAGAGTATCTCAGTTATAAAAACAAATATGAAAAAGAAATCCTCCCTCACTCTGAGGCCAGTATAACCCTGATACCAAAACCATACAAAGACAGTACACGAGAGGAAACTTATGGTTGATTCCACTCATGAACACAGATAAATCCTTAAAAACTTCAGTAAACCCAACAGTACAAAAAAATAGTATATATAAACAGTATACATAAATTAGCATATATAAAACTATATAAAAATGCATTATATTCCAATAAAAGTTTTGGATTTTTTTCAAAGGCCATTCAAAGTGAGTTTACGCTAGAAATGTAAAGATAGTTTACTATTAGAAAATTTATATATTCAATTTATCACATTAACAGATAAAAGCAGAAAAACCTTAGGATCAAGTCAAAAGATACAGAAAAAGCATTTGATAAAAGTTCAACATAAATTAATAAAACTAAGAACATAAAGTAATTTTCTTAATTTGAGAAAGGGTATCTATAAACCCAGGAAGTAAACATCAGCCTAATGGAAAAGGTTATTAGCACTTCTTTTAAAATTAAAATGAAGTAAGGATGCCTATTATCATCATATGTAAAATGGTATTAGTGGTCCTAGCAATAAAATAATACAAAGAAAAGAATAGCAAGAATCTATGTATAAAGTTAATAAAGTATGTGTAGGTTCTTTTCAAGAAAAATTATGAAAGGATCCTGAAAGACAGTGAAAGATCTAAAAAAATGAAGAGAGATGACATGTTCGTGGACAAGGAGACTTAATATCATTAACAATGTCAATGTAATTCCAATAAAAATCTCAACAGCA